AGGACCCCGTGGTCCCTCGGCTCCCGCCCCACCCTCAGGCGTCAGCTGAAGCGGCCGGGGTTTATGGATCAGGCAATTCAAAGGCAATAAACAGCTTTATTCCGATCATGGGGCCCAGGGCAGAGGTGCTGGGAGAGCCCCCTGCCAGGGGAGCCTGCTCCGAGCAGTCCCTTGGGGGCTACCGGGCTGGGGGCTGGGGCCCCCCCGCTGCCTTCAACTAATAAAGAGACCGGACTTTGCACACTTTTCACCAGTTTTATTGGAAAGTTCCCCTTTCCCTAACACCCCCCTCCTCCAGGCCCAGGCCCTGGGAACAGCCCCATGTGCACACCCGCTCCCGGCCCTGCACAGATTCTCCACCACAGCCCCTGGGATCCTGGAGGGGCCAGGCCCAGTGCCATGGCCCAGCAGCTGTGCTGGGGACACAGGGACAGCCCCCAGTGTCCTGGCTGGGCCATGCTGGGGACACAGGGACAGCCCTGGTGCCCAGCCCAGGCCCAGCAGCAGCAACAGACCAGGCTGAGGTGGCAGAGCCAGGGCAGGGGGGCCATGAGGGACCTTCCCCAGTAACTCCCCCCACCCTCGGCACCCCCCAAGTCACACCCCGGCCCCCCATAACGGCAATAAATAATCTCACACTCCCCCAGCCCCACAGCAGGAGCAGTGCCCACGGCCTGGCCCCACAGCCTGGCTCCCCAAGATGGGGAGCATCTCCATATCCCCCGACCCCCCGGGATGGGGGGCAGCTCCGTATCCCCCGGCACAGGGGAAGGGGCTGGCAGCACCCACCTGGCCCCCCACACCCCCCGGATCCGTCCCTCAGAAGCGCAGCTCCCTCAGCTTCTGCCGCAGGTAGTGCTTGGCCTCCTCGATGCCACTCACCTTCTCCAGCTCCGTGTAGGGCAGCTGTGAGGGGACAGGGACCATGTCAGAGCGGTGACAGCATGTCTGGCCCCACCTGTATCCCCAGTACCTCCAGCCCCCAGCCCCACTCAGCCTTCTGTGGTGGTGGGAGAAAGAACCAGGACTCATATCCCTCCCTGGAGGAGGAGGGCACAGACAGATGTATGGACAACAGCAGGGCAAGTGCAGACAATGCCCAGCTGCTGGCTCGTCCAGCCTGAGCTCAGCCCTGGACAGGTGCTGCAGGCACACAGAGGGAGGAACTCAAGCCTAATGCCATCCTCAAGCCCCTGCCAGCACCCTCCATGGAAGGTGACAGGGGACTGGGGGGCTGCAGCAGGTCCAACAGCCCTGAGAGGACTGGGGGGCTGCAAACCCTGAAACCCTGCAGGTCCAACAGCTCTGAGGGCACTGGGGGCCACAAACCCTGTGGGTCCAACAGCCCTGTGGGCACTGGGGGGCTGCAAACCCTGAAACCCTGCGGGTCCAACAGCCCTGAGAGGACTGGGGGGCTGCAAACCCTGAAACCCTGCGCGTCCAACAGCTCTGAGGGCACCAGCAGCACTCACAGAGCAGGACTGAGGGTCATTGGGACCCACGCTCCAGCCACTGGTGGCACAGGGGAGGAATAAAGGTTCCGAGGGCTGGAGGCCCTCAACCCACAGGTTTTCACCTGGAAAAAGAAGGCTCTGGGGAGACCCTTTAGAGCCCCTTCCAGTGCCTAAAGGGGCTCCAAGAGAGCTGCAGAGGGACTTAGGTCAACAGCCTGGAGAGACAAAACAATGGGGAATGGCTTCCCACTGCCAGAGGGGATACTGGGAAGGAATTCCTGGCTGGGAGTTGGGGAGGCCCTGGCACAGGGTGCCCAGAGCAGCTGTGGCTGCCCCAGGCCAGGTTGGACACTGGGGTTTGGAGCAGCCGGGGACAGCTGAAGGTGTTCCTGCCCGTGGCAGGGGCTGGCACTGGATGGCCTTTAAGGTCCCTTCAGCTGGGTCCCTGCTGTGCCTTCTGCAGGAGGGACACTGACAGCCCTGGCCAGCCCAGCCCAGCCCTAACACCAGCTCAAGGGAGAGCTGGCCCTGCTCCCAGCCCAGCTACACTGCTGGGCAGCTCCCAGGTGATTCCTCAGCAGTCACAGGACTCTGGAGCTCTGCACAAACACGGGGCTCTGGGCTGCTGGGCTCTAGGATGAGGAGGGAGCTGCGGCTGGCACAGCCTGGCGGCAGCAGGGAATAAAACTTTGGGAATGGCTGTGGGATGGCACGGTGGAGGCACTGCCGCAATCCTGGTCCTCTCTGCAGTGCAAGAGTGAACAGGACAGAGGGCTCCTTTCCAGTGCCGTTCTCCTCAGAAAGACATCCTCAGGCTAAAACCACCCACAGAGAAGCACGTGGGAGCTGCACATCCTAAACCAACACCTGGAGTTTGCCAAAGGAGCTGCACACCTGAGGGCTCTCCCAGCCCCAGCACTCGGCAGGGAACACCTGGGGCTGGAACAGGGCAGGCAGGGCTCTGGCACAGGTGGTGACCCAACCTCCCTCCTGCCCCCTCAGCACATGGGATCACAGGTCACCACACGTGGGCCCGTGTGTGTCCCCCCCACCTGATTCCACCCCAAGGCCCCACACTCAAAGCTGCCCCTGTGGCTGTGTCTGCCAGCCTGGGCTGAAAACCCTCCCCTTCCCCTCACTCAGGTCAGGTCTTAGCTCACAGGACAAACTGTCCCTTGTCTCTGCTTTCCATCAGGGCTAGTGTCACCCACCAGCTGCATGGAAAAAGTCCTGCATGGGGTGGGGGAGGGAGAGGAGACATGAGGATGAGTCATCCCTGCTTCCTCTCACAGGGACAGGAGTGTTTACACTGGGGATGCCAGGCCCATCCTTGCAGGGGGATGCCAGGGCCGAGCCCATCACCCACCGCGTGCCCTGGCCCCGAGGAGGTGGGTGCAGCCCCCCTTACCTGCACCAGACAGTATCCCAGCAGCCGCAGGTGCCGGTCCCGCATGGCCCGGGAGCCCACCAGGATGTCGGAGTTCTGGCAGTAGTGCCACTTGTCATTGACCGACAGCACCACCCTGCACAGGGGACAGCACGGAGGGAGGGCAGCGTTACCCCATGCCACAGTGCCACCCCACCCACGGACCCTGCTCCCCAGCACCGTGGCAGCTGAAGAGCAGCACCCAGCTGAGCCCGGACCCTGCTGGTGGCAGGGACAGCTGTATGCAGCACCCAGTGCAGTGGGGACTGGGTCTGTGCGTGCCCGTGGCACCAGGCAGGAAGGGACCAGGGTTACGGTCTCATTGAACAGGAGCCAGGGCAGTGCCAGGGTGGCTGTGCTGCAGGAGGGGACCAGAGCCAGGGCAGTGCCAGGGTGGCTGTGCTGCAGGAGGGGACCAGAGCCAGGGCAGTGCCAAGGTGGCTGTGCTG